ATGGCGTGTTTTGAAGTGGCTGAGCCATCCATTGATTAAGAGAAAGTTCTTAACATTTATTTGCATGGCGATCTCTCGAGCTTGCTGCTCGAGAATTGGTCCGCTTATGGGCAAATTAAAACTCCGTGCACACTTGAACCACAGAAAATAAACTTTTTCTAGTTGTTCATAAGGCGTTGTCCGCATCTGTGTAGCTGTAAAGGTCTCGTTTTTAACAGTGCCCTCAATCTTTTCTCCGCCTTTTCAGATTCGCGACAGCGTCGATGTCAGGATGTATTTTTTTGCCACCTTTGTCTTTGGCAGGCCGCTTCGATCGAGCTCCTGAAGTATTTGCAGCTTTTTTTCAAACGAGAGTGCATGTTGCTGCCGCTTCCTTTCCATCGGGCCGTATAACACCCTCATTCACCACACTTAGCTGCACCAACAAGCTTAACGCACAATTGACTCACCGGCTTAGCTCCCACAGCCACAAGCAAGAATGGCTACTGGATTGGCTTGTCTCGATGTCGAAGTGTTGCCATGGTTGCAAGACTACCTTTGGCTTGAGCGAGTCTATGCTGTGTTTAGACTTTGTGCCATTTAACCGTTGTTAACCAATCAGCACTGTTTCTATTAACCGATGAATTTTACTGCGCAACACAGAAATCCAGCCATATGAGCCTGTTTAGTTCCGTTAATGAAGCATTTTCGTTTAACCAAGTTTCGTTTATTGGGAGTCTACTGTATTATGCGGCCCCTGGCACGACGTCAGAACAACTCCTCCTAAGTAATAATGATAAAAATATCTTGTGTTGATGTCCCAAGACCATGAGATAAATGAGAGATACAGTAGTAGAGGGCTTCGGACCTTCCAACCACCTAGGTTTTTTAACGGGCACCTAAATCTAAGTACACGGGCATAAAACGTTTTTGCCTTCATCAAAACTTCTACATAACCGATGAACACCTCCCGACAAAGCAATGAACACCTCCACGACTTTCTCAGTCTGTCCATGAGCAACATTGATGTAGACATTGTTATGAGATGGTCATGAATGTTCAGAACCGAAGTCTCTTCAGAAAAGTGTTGTTTTCTTTTGCTTCTATTTTAAGTTGATAAATTGCAACTTTGTGACATCTGTGCTGCAAATATGCATGATTTCTATTCCACTTTTGTGTGTCGATAGCATCAGTCAGCCAAAATTTTTGCTTTGCTTGCAGAGCCCCCTCCACAACACCCCCCCCCCCTCCTTTTTTTTGCTGTGCGGTTCTCGGTTATGTTGGATTCATGCTGTTCGACCATCTGCCTCAAAAGGTCGCTGACCGCTGATTTATACAATGGCCTGATTAGCCTATGTATACTTTGCTGCAACTTAGGGGAATCTTATACTGAACCGTTCGAAAAGCTTCTTTGTTTCTGAACCCACTCAGCACTTGGTGTGCAAGACGGACAAGCACAAATGCATGAAAGCCTTTGAGGAGCTTTTGAAAACATGACAGGGGCTTCAAAGCGAATGGTCACATTCTAAATGATCACATTCTATATAAAAAATCAGCCACTCTGTGACAAGTGTGAGTGCACACTTGTCTATGTCCTTTCTTCATCCATTTTCTCGGGTTGCACTTATGAATTTTATTTATTTTATTTATTTTATTTTCCAAATGCTGTTAGCCTTTCGGCTGTTACAGGGGTGGGACATACTAAGAATGACAAACATCAATACATTCAAATCATACAGCAATTTAAACAGCAACACTTGAACTTAGGAAAGTTACATGACATACATTGGAAACACGGCATTGAGGCTGAAGGAAGAAACAGGCTGTTCGTAGTAAGCATACAAATGAATGCAATAAATTAACATAGTAGACCATGCTACAGAAAATATCTTTGAGCCCTTCCTCAAATTTTTCCAGGGAATCACAATGAACCAGTGGTAATGGCAAAGCATTCCACTGACGAATTGTTTTTAGAAAAAATTAATTCGCATATACATGACCCGCTGTTGTGGCACTTCGTATGTGTAATCATTTACACTTCTTAGGTTTTCTCCGGGCGTGGCGTTAAGTATTTTGTTGTGTTTATGTTTAATTTATTTTTTGACAATAAAAATAAGATCTCATTCTTGCCATTGCCGTCGTTCCGTTAAAGTGGGCAGTGAAGAGAGCGTAGCATTCCTGTACTGACTCAGTCGAGGAGTACTTTGAAAGAATAAACGTGGCAGCTCGCCTTTGTACTCTTTCTAGCGTATTAATGAGGCCGATTTCCGAGGGATCCCACACCCAATGCTGGCATATTCCAATGTTGGCCGAATATACGTACGATATGTGCTAGCTAACGGAGTCGTAGCAAGTCTTAACTTTCTTCGCAAGTACCATAGTTTTCTCTCCGCCACCGCACAAATGTTTTCCAAATGGGTCTTCCAATTTAGATTACTGGATATTGTACACCTAAATATTTTATTTCATTGACGGTAAGCAGGCAGGTAGAACATAGAGTGTAATGGAATAGAAGACCCGCTTACTTCTGTTTGTGACGCGCAAAGCAACTGTTTTTAGTTTGATTTTATTTCCATTTTACATTCAGTGCACCGATTATGACGCCATCAAGAATATCGTTAAATGTTTTTTTGGTCAGCTTCACTGTGTATTTCTTTATAAATTAGGCAGTCGTCTGCAAAAAGTCGCACTGTAGTACTTCTATCTATGCCGCATGAAATGTCATTTATGTAAGTTAGGACTACTATCAGGTCCTAAAACTGAACCTTGCGGTACACCTGAGGTAACGCCTAATAACTCAGATTTGAACCGTTTATTTTCTACATATTGTGTCTGCCTGTCAGGTACGCACTTATCCACTGTATTATGTTATAATTTATGCCTAGGTGTGCTAACTTATTATTAACTCCCTGTGGGGAACCTTGTCAAGGCTTTGGAGAAGTCGAGACATATTGCGTCGATCTGAACACTATTATTTAAGGCACGCGTGAAGTCATCGACTGTTTCTATTAATTGGATTACAGTGGCATAAATTCTGCCGAAAACCATGCTGATTAGAAAAAATGTTTTTGTGCCCTCAAGATACGTATACATAGCTTTGGATATAATATGCTTCTAAAAGCTTGCAGCATACACAGGTGAGGGAAATGGACGGTAATTTTTCCATCTTTTGTTGGTCTCCACCCTTATGCGTTGGCACGACCTTCGCCACAAGCCAGTCGTTTGGGACACGCTTTTGCTGATTGATTGATTGACATGTGGGGTTTAACGTCCCAGAACCACCATATGATTATGAGAGACGCTGTAGTGGAGGGCTCCGGAAATTTTGACCACCTGAGGTTCTTTAACGTGCACCCAAATCTGAGCACACGGCCTACAACATTTCCGCCTCCATCGGAAATGCACGCTTTGCTCTATTGAGGCATTATATATTATGTATGAATAGTGCGCAACCCATTCCGCACACCTTCGCAGTAAATCATTTGGTATGCCATCTGGTCCGATCGACTTTTTCATGTTCATGTTCAGTAATAATGATACAATGCCTTCATAAGTGATCTGAACGTCAGGCATAACTGACAACTGAGAAGGAAGTTGCGTGAATGCATCACCATTATCAGGACAAGCAGTAAACACTGACTGGAAAAATCTGTTGTGTAGGTAAGCGATGGAAGAGCAGTCTGTCACCAATTCATCATTGACAACAAGAGAATGCACGCGTCTTGAGTGGTCTTCCTTCTGAGATAAGTGACGCCAAAAACGATTGCTTCCTTGCACAAAGAAATATCTTATGTGAGTGTATTTTAGCATATACTAACTATTTATTTTATTTCTCTTTAGCTAGCTAATGGATTATGAGGATATCCATGACTTTCAGCCCATTTTACTTCTCCTGCAGCTCGTTGTTTTCTCAGCTTAACATACTCCCATTGAGACAATTATTTTGTCATAGAATGTCCGTTGTCGCCTTTAGACTCATCACGCATGACATTTTTATTGCATGCATTGATCATCGTCACTTAACTAATGGTAACATCACCAGGTTTTCTCAGTGCTATAATCTTCTTTTGCCGGCCGTAAGGACAAACTACGGCAGGTTCTCAACCTTATTTACTAGCATAGCCATTTGGAATTCATTGCCTTTCGAATTGAAATCATCGCATAACATCCATATTTTCACTTCGCGTAGTAAGAAATATTACGTTCGGGAATTAATCAACTCATCCGATTTGTGTAATTAACTGTTAATAGCTTTCCACAGTTCTGTGCTTTTTTACTACTTCAATTTGCCATTGTATAATTGATAACACTGATAATGAAACGTGTTACATTTGTCACGTAGAGTTCATTAATATTGTTTTTTGTCTTAACTTGCTTTTGATTGTTTCCTTGTTATTTTTCAATAGTGAGTATTACCATTATGTTGTGTATTGATCGTGTTTTTATTGTTAATCAAGATTATTCATTATTATTCACAAGACCGTATACTATTGCTGTATTTTTTTGTAATTACCCCATCCATGTAGCCATAGGAGGTCCCCCTGTCAGTTTCTCTGAAACTTTGGGACCTCCTGCTGTAATAACGCTAACCATGTAACTCAACTGAACTATTTAATAAACTTGACTTGACTTGACTTGATATGCACTTAAGCTTTAGAAGCGATGTAATCTGATGCTGCACAAAGCATACTCATGTAATCTCTCAGAACTCTGGATATTCCAGAAACTGGAGTTAATTATTACATACCTGAAGCAACCAAGGAAAAATAATCTCTGATGTAGCCTTCCATAGATTACAGGTGTTGTGCTGACAGGTAGTTTATCATCTTAGAATATGTAAGGTGTGGTAACAACTGTTTTTCAGGCATTTGAAATTCCACTGGCATTTCAGAGTGTGGGTAAAGAGTAAATGTGACGATTGGGAACAAAGTTTGCATGTGTGTGCGTAACTTTGTTGCTTATATTGCTTATACTGAAAATGGCAGTGGCATCATTCTCAAATTCACCATTTGTGTACGCAGGCATTTGAATCTGATTCGCATGGGAAAGAAAAGCTTCCAGGAATGGAGTGGACAGCACAGCAGCTATTTTTCATTGGCTACGCACAGGTACTGGGTGCTTTGACATATTTTCATTGTATGTGTGGTGCTGTATGTACTTCACTGCATAATCATCCCAAGGCCTTCTTCAAGTGTGCGAAACAGTGCTGTGCAGTTGACGTGCTCACTGCACTCCACTCTGAAGCAACGCAGTGCATGATGTCGAGTACCGAAATTGTCGTAGGCTTCTGTCCGTGATCAATATGCATGATACAACACTTTCAGCATAACGCTTCAGGCTTTTATGACACCAGCACTTAACCGCTGCAAGTAGCATGTCGTATTTAGAGGAAACAACACGAGCTTGGCGTTCCGTACAAATGACAGATCTCTTGGGTAAACTGCACAATTTTCCAGGAAAAGGAGAAGCTCCTGCACAGTGAACCCATCTTGCTATCCAAGTATCAAGGGAAACTCTTCAAACAAAGCACAGGTCATCCATGCACCATGGTTACCTCTGTAGTGGCATGGCAGCAGGCAAATGTTCTTCAAGCACCCTAGATTTTGATACTTGACGATCACCCACCGATTTAGTTTGCCCAAGCCATCCATGTTCAAAAGAGCACCATCAGTCTGTCTTTGCTGCATTTGCCTCTGTGGTATGCTTTGCCCTTCAGGCTAATGATTTCGATGGCCGCACATTAAAAAAGAAGCTTGTTTTGTCAGCATTGTGAACCATCGACTGTTCCCACGTTCGCACTTTCCGCTTTTCCACTTACCATCTTGTAAGCGACGCCATGCCTCTTGTGGAAACAGTCGAACCAACCGTTTAATCTTGCATATTCAGCGATGTCCAGTCTGTAGGCTGTTTCCATTGCCTTCTTGCATAAAATACTGCTAGGAAGTTGATTCTTGCAGTGCAAGCTTGCTTAAACCAACGTTTTCAGAACCAGGTAAGTTGCAAAAGTCCCCGCGTCAGCCGACCCGTTGCGTGGCGCCGTGACAGCTTCCAGTTTGGTGGCACTGGCGGAGCAGCAAGCTTCTTCTAGCAGACAAAAGCGCGTAGCCAGCGCGACGAGACGCTGGAGCAGTTGTTCAAAAGGGTGTTTGCCGAGCTCACAGCAATGCAAAATTTGAATAATATCTAGCACTGGTAAGACAAAGACAGTATAGCTATGTCTTTGTGGACAGCTCACGAAATACGGATCGATAATTGGCGAGTCTCTCTTATTGCACTATAAAAAATTACAATGAGGTGCATTTTCATGGCATAGTTCTTCACTTCCATTTTTTGAAGTAAGCAGCTTTCAGTCTGGCGGCTGTCGTTACTTGCAATTCTTGAGTGATATCGTCGTGTTGGCACTACATGTCACAAATCTAATCCCGCTGTAGAAAAAAAAAACTGTATTTATTATATACATGCCTGCAGTGAACAGTTTTCAGATATTACATGTACAGTGTGGTGCAGATGGACTGCACTAATTGTTCGCAGTCTGTTTTTTGGCCTTGTCGCTATTTAGGAGATGTTGCGTCCGAATTTTGGTTACTGTGTACAGGCGATGTTCCGATGTGATCTCTATAGAAAGTTTGGGATATCTCACATACGCGCAAACAGTTCTTCAGGCTCCCAATCACCTGCCTGTAACCTGCTAAAGTTATTGCCAAGTCATAGCAATGTAGCCCAAAAATAGCTACATAGCCAAGATGAAAAATGCAACCCAACTCTAACACCGAATAGCCCAACAACGCGCGGCAACTAACCGTAACATGCACCGCCAATGGAGGACTGGAGGAGTGAGTGAACTTGATGCAACAGCAGTGCCACATTTGTGGCTGATGGCGGCGGCATCGTGCAACATAACTAAGTTTTGCAACTTACCTGTTCTAGAAACGTTAGTATGGTAAGGTAAACCCCGCGAAAAATCGAATTTGCAATTTTCACACCAAGAAATTCACTGTACTTTGAGAATCAAACCTGTGGAAGCTTAACGTTGAGCTGCCGCTCCAAGTGGTTTAAAAGCCACGCCGAAGTGCGCCGCACACCCTCTGGCGTAAGCAGTATGCTCACGTTAAACTTCGTTTTTCTCAAGTTGTGTTTTCTGTAATTTTGCAACTACAATGTACCTTTTCTCAAAAGCGTATTGAATCGATATCTGATGAAATTTTGTATGCATGTGCTATAACAAGTAAGAAACTAACTGCAACTAAAAAATATTGCCGATTTCTATAAAAAGTGAAGCTGAAAAAATTGCACTACAATATACACCCTTGGTGGGCTTGTGCAAGCAGTATTTTTATTTTTTTTACAGAAATTCATGAAAATAATAATGTTTTTTTTTAGTTTAAATGTAAACCTATGCGACTCTACAAGAACATGGTTGAATATGGTTACATTCCTTTCGTTAGTTGCTGAGAAAAGGTACATTGAATAAATGAACCTCCTTTAAAATTGGGGAGTGAGCCATAGAAGAATAAGCAACCTAGGCATAAAAAACGGGTGTCACTTGATACCCCAGTGGCATTTTTTGTGAGAACGTAACCTTTTATGGGAATACTTGCAGTCATTTCTAGATATACGCTAAAACTGGCATATACCATTTACCGTAGTGAAACTTCTGCTGTAAGCACCTTGATGGTGATACAAATGTGTCACAAATGATACACACAAATGTGTCAACAAAATGTGGTCATCACACATTCACAAATGTGTCGCAAATGTGTCATCTAGGGGCCGCCTTTTAAACTCGCCTGTGCCATAGCCAAGCTAGGCCACGATTGTCAAAAAGTAAACTCAAATTGGCGGTGGCCGGGCAAGTTCGGCGTGCTAGGTTGCGGTGCATCATTCAAGAATGCGCCCACAGTTGTGACATAAAAGCAAGGTTCACAATGCATCAGATTCTATGGGAGCTATGCTGAGACCGATGAAAAGCACATAATAGCCAAGAACAATTCAGCAATGAAAAGTGCAGAATCGCACTGTACTTGCCTACATTGTTCTAATTACTATTACTCAATGGTGAGAAGCATTATGGGCAGCAGTGCCACCTACAAGAGCAGATGTGTATGTGGCTCAGAAGCGTGTGCTAGTGGCAAGTCCTGACAAGTGCCAGTTTATGCTTTTTGTGTGTGTTTATTGTTGCTCATTAGTAATATAAACACGCTTCTCTTTCAGTCCATGTGTGAAGAGGTGTCCTTAAGGAAGTTACAAATCTGGAGCCTCGTGAGCATATCTGCACCTAAAAAGCTCAGGTGAGTTCCTACTTGCCTGCATATCAATTCTCAAATGTAGAGGCATCCACAAGATGTAAAATTTGAGTATGTAGTGAGAAATTGTCACAGCTGTGAAATTTTCCAACGCCCACTACTTCTTTATTATTTGTTCAATGATTACCCTACATTTCCCGAAGGCATTACAGCAGGGGGGTTACAGCATTTCAGACAACTTATTCCACTCTTTAATGGTTTTATCAAAAACTGATTCTGCAAATAGGTTCATCTTAGTATGCAATTCTCTTATTTTGAAAACATGCAAAGTTCTAGATGGATCGAAATTAGGTTCCTTAAGGTATTTTAGATGTGAAGCAGCTCTTTTACTATCCTGTCTAACCCAGTTCCTCTGCACTGGGGGGGTGCCAATTAGGCCATGGCCGTAATCCCGTGGCACTGGCAATGTGGACAGCGCGATCATGCGCCGGGCGAGACGCAGTTGGGACATGTTTCTAGCTAGCGTGCGCGCCACCTTCCGGCCCGTTGTCGGCGTTGCGAGTTATCAAAGTCGATCGCATTCGGGAATGATGACCTCATGCCTGGAACTCCTGACGAGGTGCAAGGTCAAGAGAACGCCGATCGCGTTCGAGTATTGAGACGACGCACGGGTTCCCCGACGAGATGCAAGCCGAAAAAGCCAAGCGCGAGCATCTTCAACATGTCTCTCCTCCGTGTCATTCGCGTTTCAAACTAACGTTTACTCCAGAAACACTACATCGAGTTCATTCAAATCATTCTTCCAGCACCCACTTCTACGCCCGTTTCAATTGGGTCACGCCATGCGCACCGCTGCTGCTTCGCATTTCATTAGGGTTCTCTTCAGGGAGATGGTTCCTAGTTTTTTCTTTGTTTATTCCTATTTTATTATTAGTATATATCTGAAAAAATAACTTCAGTCACAGTCTTTGCTTTGCCAATGAGGAGAAAGCAGTTCCCACCCAAGCTCATTTTCAATTTAAGTGCAGCTCTGCCCTCTCTTTTACTGTCCCAAGACAAACCTGACCGCCAGTTTTTTAATTTTCTCAATTTCATCAATTATAGTCACCTGCAAAGAATCTCATACGGCACAAGCATAGTCTAGTATAGGTCAAACAAATGTTAAACAGGCTCTCTTTTTCATGTTCAGTTTCATAGTTTTTAAATTGTGCGGAATAAAGCATAGCACCCTTCCAGCTTTCTAAACCATATCGTGCACATGTGCATTCCATGAGCAGTCAGATGAAAAGAGTACACCTAAATATTTATAGCTGACTGCTCTTTTTATGTGATCGTTGTTTAAAATATACTCCATCTCGATTGGTTTCCTATTTTTTGTAAAAGAAAAGTGGACACCCTCTTTATTATTTAGTTTTATTTTCCAATTCTGAACACGTTCCTAGTCAGTTTGCAGTTGGGTAAAATCACTGTCACTCGATCTTTACTTGTCTATACAGAGCACTCTCGTCTTCAAACAATCTAATGTGTCATAAAATACCGTATTTTCGCGCGTATAACCTGCACCAAAAACCAAAAAAATTTAGTGGCAAAGTCGAGGTGCGGATAATACGCGGGGTTTTTTCTATAGTGCTGCTTCACAGCAATGCGTGTTGTGCTGTGAAGCCCCTTAACAGTGTAGCGAAGGCTACGGAGGCGGTTTCCGCAAATTCGTGTTGCTCCGCAAGTAGCACGGCAGCTTGCGGCCGATTTTGGTTTCGCTTGCTTGCATAATTTAAGCGTTTAGAAAAACATTTGGGAAGAGACAATTCTGGTTGTTCAGTGTAAAATCTCACTGTCACACCACAAGTATATTTTTTGGACGTTCGCAGCCACTCAGTGGCCCTCCACATGTCCCTACGTCACAGACGCTACGTTTACTTTTGGAAAGGGCTTGCCGAAAAGGTGGTGCTGTCTAAGAAAGTTTCATAATAACTAAAGTAAGTTCCATAATAAATAAAGAAGTATTTATTTCAGCAAGGCAATGAGATATTATAGTGCCTATAAAGATATTATCAGTAAATAATGTACTACATTTTGACGCGGTAGCAGGCATGCATTTCAGCTCTGTTGTTTCCAGGGTGCTGTTACAGTGACTAGAAGGGGTAGTGCTGTCAAGTTGTCGCCGAGTGTGAGCACTCTTTATCTCTCTATACTGCTAGTTCTCCACATCTCGACCCGTTCGCAAGCCTAAGTCAATCTGTTCTGTCACCATGAGTAGCGTACGGGGCAGGCCTTCACGGCACAGCAAAAGCTAAGATCATCCCCGTCGCGAAGAATTCGGAAATCGCGAAGCGGGAAGACGGCACGATGTGGACGAGTCCTGCGTGCGACTGTGGAGAAAGAAGAAAGAGAGCCTACAAGCCGGGCACCGCGACCGTAGTGTCATTTCGTGGCCCCAAGACCGGTGCCTACCCCTAGCTGGAGGCGGAGCTAGTAAAGTTCATCGAAGATTGTGAGAAGCAGGGGTCACGTCGTATCGACCGATGATGGCCCAAGTGGAAGCGCAGCGGACTTTCGAGGGCAGCTAGGCCTACCTCACGAGTTCCTTGCGAGCCGCGGATGGCTGCAACCGCTTTATGAAGGGGCAAGGGCTCTCAATCAGCACGGGGGACTACAATATGTCAACGCTTGCCGGCTTCTTATGAGGAGAAGCTGCTCAAGTACCAGAGATGTGTAATTGTTCTGCGAAAGCAGCACAATCACATTTTCTCGCAAATCGGCCATGCGGATGAAACTCCTGTTTATTTTGAAATGCCATTGGACACAACGATTGAGAAGACGGGCAGCAGTTCGGTGAGCATGCTGACCGGTGGGAACACGAAAACTGCACATCACAGTCTTGCTTTGTGCCCTCGCCGACGACACACAACTGCGACCTGTATCGTCATCTTGAAAAGGACAAACTCTATCAAAGGTTCATTTGCCTGCCGGTGTGGCTGGTGCGCGCACACGAGAATGCGTGGATGAACAGTGACTTGTTTGTAGACTAGATCAAGACGGTATGGCAGAAGAGGCCCGGTGCGATGCTCGCAAAGAGGTCCATGCTCGTTCTGACTCGTTCGGCGGCCACACAACAGAGGAAGTGAAGGACCGCCTTTCACGCAACGGCATCGACTTAGTGTTTTACCCGGTGGAATGACGTCAATGTTGCAGCCTCTAGATGTGTCACTTAACAAGCCCTTGCAAAGAGCATGTCAAGCGCTATTACGCAGGAGTGGATGGCCGAAGGCTGCTACGACTTGACGCCAACAGGACGAGTCGAAGGCCTGATATTGCCCTATTCTGCAAGTAGATTGTCGAGGCATGCAAGGCCATTCCTAGGTGAGATGGTGCGAAAAAGTTTCAAGAAATGCTTGCATCACAAACAACATGGATGGAACCGAAGATGCACCTTGTGCATAATAGTTGAGGACTGCGGCTCAAGTGATAGCTCTAGCGAGAGCAGCGACAGTGAGTGAATTGTGACTGGCCTTGCAGACAGCGTATTCTGCTTGCTAAATGAAGCTTTTTCTGTCTACATATGTGCTATGTGCTTGAGCAGTAGCTTTTGTACAGCCTTTTCTGTATATCAAATGTGCCGGCAATACGCGAGGATTTTTTTGTTTTCTTTCTCGGTGAGCTGAAAGTGGGGGTGCGGATTATATGCAGGGGCGGGTTATACGTGCAAAATACTGGTAGCTGCTAAAATATCATTTATATGAACTAAAAAGTCATGTCAACACTATACCGATGTTATGTCAACAGGTGCTCAGGGCTTTTGCCGTATGGAAATGACGCATAGTCGGCGTTGGCCAGAAATAATTTTCTATCCATCTAAGAACAGTGGAATCTATGTTTAGTAAATTAAATTTATTGCAAAAAGCGGATGTGTTACCGTGTGAAATGCTTTATGGAAATGTAAGAAGATACAGTCAATTTGTCGCCCTGAATCAATATCGAATACCAGATCATGATGAAACTCAACCAGTTGTGTGGTGCATGAGAACCTATTCCCGAACCCATGTTGAACATTCGTTAAGATATCGTTCTTAATCAGGTGTTTCATTTTTGCAAAGTACAAAATGCGTTCCATTGCCTTGCACACTATCAAGGTTCTCTACATCTTCTTTCGACTTCCTTTATGGATTTGGAAGAACATGAGCTGTTTTCCAACCAACCGGTAGTAGGCCTGTTACCAAGGATTGTTTTAAATTATGTACAGGTAAAGTGAGATGGGTCAGCACAACATCTCAAAATAAGCAGAGAAATTGCATCTGGGCCAAAAGCTTATGTTTTACCTGTTTATTTTTCGATACCGCTTACTGTAAGCTCAGTTCGGATCATTGGAGATATGCTGCTGGCATTGGGCAAGTAGGAAACTCCTGTATTGGCAAAAGACGGATTTAAAATAGGCATTAAGGCAGTTCGCCTTGTCTCCATCATCTATGATAGCTTAGTCATTATAACATTTTCATTTATTTCAATACTGTCAGAGCGAGAGGTCTGAATGCATTGCCAGAAATGCTCAATAGTTCAATAAAACAATATTTATGCTATCTTAGTCAACTGCATAAACTTGCACTACATTATACTGGTCATAGGTAGCATTCCTAATTAACTACTTAATTGTCAAATTTGTAAGATTTTGCCAAGCAGTATCCATCTGTCATGCAAACTCTCGAATGTGGACATGGGACCAATGAACACTCCTTAAAGGGATATTCAACAAAAATTAGAGAAAGCTGACAAAACTTCACAATTTTACTACAAAGATGCGACTGTTTTGATAAGAGTTAATTACCCATATTTTTTAACAGTTGGCTGTATTCTGATGGATTGTTAGTGCACGGCAGCTGCACGCGAGCAGGAGCCGTCACGTCAGAGAATCGCCGAGGCACATGCACGAGTTCTCGCCCCCCTCTTCGTTTTTTCCACCTCTCCTTCATCCCACTCTGCCTTCTATGAAAGCACTGATGCTTTGCCTCAGCTGAGAAACATTGTTCGCAATCGATGGCTGCTCGTACCGG